ATGGTAGAAATGTAACTGCAGAGGGTCTACCGAAACTAGCTAAATTTTGAAAATGGTCTATGTGAAAAAAGTCTGCGAAAATCTGATCTAGACTATGCTTTATTCATTTTAACAATTAACTATAATGTTTAATTTTACTTATATTGTTAACGTCGTCACATCGATATTTGTCTGTCAGATACGAAACTTTGTAATAAAATGAATTTGAAGACGTATTAAGACTTTAAGTTGAATCAATCTGACCGTGATTTGTTCCAGAAGGCGCGTAGGAGTGCCTCAAGAGTTAATAATATTCTATAACCTTAAATGTACACAGAGTCACGGATCCAAAATATAATGCTCTAAACTAAATGATCAACAACAGTGCTGCCAGATCTAATTACTAAAAGTTAATTATGTGGCAATCAATTAGCTTTGCGGGCATCTAATAAAAAAAAACAAGTCAGATATAAAACAAAAACAAAATCATGCAAGGATCATCAATGTCACCATAATTAAAAATCCTATTGACTTTGCCTCCATATGAAAACTTGAATAAGCCAAATAAGATAGTAAAGTTTTCTCTCGTCTCACATAGCTTTCGGACAAAGGAGTTCTATCTGAAAAAAATATTACTTGTTATTAATTTTCATTCTTTACTTAAGATACTAGCAGCTTTCACGTTGTTTATATAAAGCAAATAATTGAATTTTTATGTATTCTGAATACTTAGACAAATGTTAGTTGTCATTGTAGGTACTTTGAAAATTTTTATACGGAACATCTCGATGAAAAATAACTCTAATTTCATAATTAGTGTAAGGTACATTTAATGATAAAACAAATGTCGTAGAAACATGAATTTATTATGAAACTTAGCGTAATGAACAAGTCTACTTAGTGCTAAGTGGTACCAGAACCCATAGTCATTGTAGCGTGAATCCCACCACACACCTTGCGAGTTCAAGTTAAAATCATATATTTAGTAATAATAGTAGTAGTTAGTAGTTAGTAATAGCTTTAGTAGTAGTAGTAGTTAATATAACAACTGTTCCGCCCTTCAAACCGAAACGCATGACTGCTTCGCAGTTTATTTTTTCTTTAGGCTTTAGCCTTTAACTTCCTTCTTCATCGTTCTCATAAAGTACTTTGTAATCATTGTTAGTTCAGTATTATTAATTATTCATCTGGCAGCCCTGTGCCGAGATTTTTCGAGCGGTGACGCTAGCCCACAAGCGCTGCTTCCATATAAGACAGTCTTCCTATTCGCCCCCGCAAGATTACTCTCGACAGACGGAACTCCTAAGATTGAACGATTTTCCAATTAGTATTAATTAATATTAAATCGTATCGTGAAAATTTTAAAATCAACTTAATAATAAACCTTGAAAGGACCTTGAGGTTTTAGTACAAAAAAACAATGTAAAGTTTATTATGCTCTTTTGAATAGTCGATTAAACAAGCTCACGGGTTACTTGTGAAGCGCTTACTTACTTACTTATATATGGGTTCATAATCATTTGAATACCGGCACCCAAATTTGAGTTTTTTTGTAAACTGAATCTGGGTGAAGCAAAATTATAATTTATAATTATTATAAATAACTGAACTCTTAATAGCAAAGATAAAATATACCGGTGTATTGAAGACGTCAATGCCCTTCGCGATACATATATTATTACAACACCAATCACCGTCACATGCACTCATCCGTTGACATTAACGACATCAGTGCCTGTGAAAATGTCACTGTTATTTTTCGCATTTTGTCAATCATTTAAATTTATCGGTCCCTTATTATTTAAATACGCTGTTATGAAATGATTGTACGTCATTGCGTAAAAACGATTAAACGAGTCCATGTGAAGTGCGTCACGACGCCCCCAAAACACATTACTGTCTATAATCGAACCTTAAAATTTTTATTTAATAGCCGTATTTATTGTTAATTATTGTTTTTGTCATTGTCCTTTAATTTTAATTCTAAATCCATAATTGTATTCTGAGCATCATATCGAGGAAAGTCGACTACTAATTAAAAGCCTTTGCAGCAGGCACTTGGACTTTTTTTTTAATAAATAGTCAAATAGTTATGTGTTAGGTTTTTAAGTTACTAACATAGATTGTAAGTAAAACTTACTAACAAATGGTATAATGTCTTTACTGAAATAAAGATACATAATAATAAGAATTATTGTTATTAATTATAATCTGAAGAAGGGAAAATTTCCGGGGCAGGATAAAGTCACATACGAACAACTTCAGTGTGGAGGAACACCAGTCCCTTCAAGTGCTGTTCAATAAAGCTATTTTCGAAGGTGTGGTTCCAGAGGCTTGGAAAAATGCAATAGTTATGCTACTGTATAAGAAAGAAGATCCCACCAAACCCACTAACTACCGAACGATATAAGAATGTCGATATACATATTTAAGCTCTTGCTTAGTCACATTAACAAATTATTTACCAAAGTTATTACTTTGCGCCTTTTAAACAAATAGGACTCGGCATTACCAGTAGAACAGGCTGGACTTCGCAGCAGGTTTTCCACAATGGACCATATCCACACTGTTCGACAAGTTGTAGAAAAATGCACCGAATACAATCTTCCCCTGACAGTTAGCCTTCGTAGATTATGAAAAGGCTTTTGTCACAGTCGAGCACTAAGCGGTAATAAATTCTCTACCGAGATCACTAATCGACACAAGATATTGTGCGGAGACATTAAAATCTGCCTACCTGCTACTCTACAAGTAAAGATATATGAATTGACTAATCCGGTGAAAGGGGACAGAAGAGTGCGGCAGGGAGACATCATATCACTGAAACTGTTTACGTCTTATTTGGAAGATGTATTCAAGCTTATCGTATGGTCCGATAGATGCATTAACATAAACAGGGAATATACCTATGAAATTGGAGCGTAGGGCATTCGTTATTGGCATTGATTGGCATTCTTAATACCGAAATCCGCAGAAAAACTGGTTTGACTGACTAGTCAAAGTGATTGCTCGGAAAAAGTGGAAGTGGGCCGGCCATATATGCCGTCGCAGTGACAATGGTGGGGCACAAAAGTACTGGAGTGGAGACCTCGTACTGGACGTCGTAACGTGGGCAAACAGCCAACAAGGCGGACCGATGACCTGGTTAAAGTGGTTGGTAGGGACTGGATGCGAGAGGCAAGAGACCGAAGAGAATGGGGTGCATCCAAAAAGACCTACACACAGCATTGGGTGGACGACACGGGTTAAAAAAGAGAGATAATTATAACGGAAAATTTACAAAAATCCAAAGTCACAAAACACCCACATTTCAAAATAGAGATAACATTACTAACTTTATGGGCATTCCTTTCATAATTTTAATTGAAAAATTATTTTTCTAATATTACCGAGTATAACCGAGTAACAAGACAAAGATTCATGTGTCGTTCTTGAGAAATTTGAAATGTCTAAATAATTTGGAATATAAGGACCTGTGCTGATGTTTGGTAACGCTAACAAATAGGTTGAGCCAAAGTTAGAAAGCACATACTATGTGGGCTGAAGCTGAATACAAAATATGATACTTTTTATAAAAAGCCTACATTGTATTCGTGAACCCAAAAAAAGAAGAAAAAATACTACCCAACAATCAGCGTAGTATATTTGCTATATATACTATAATGTACACTATACTTAATATTATATATAGTAAACTGAATATATTTTAGGAAAAAGTAAATCCGACTTTGTTTTTAATAAGGTCTCTAATCAAATTAAAATCAAAAAACCATTTTTAAACCTATATCCGAAAAAAAAACATTCGCAATCTCTATGCTTACGGCCTAAAAATGTAAAATTAGTCTTGGATTAAACAACCAACATTCAGAAGTTTTTGATATGAACTAATGACCTTTTATACCTTTATACCTAACTTCGCAAACTTATATACTCCTTAACAATAAATGTTATTCAATAATTACAAGGTAATCTTTCTATAACAATGTACTTATCTCATTCATCTCGAAAATTTATCGAATGCGACTGCGAATTTATGCGAATAAAGTATAATTTTCCAACGGTGTTAAAATATTTAGTCAGTAGACGTTTCACAAAGTATAGACTGTATTTCGGGGTAGTCTACCCACGACTTTCGCCCACGTCATGCACTTTGACATTTAAATTAGGACATTTAAATTAGGCGTGCGCCAAATAACTACAGGTGGTTGTCATGGTTACTGGCGAAAATCCATGACCTTTCCTCTTAGCGTTTAAATCATTTTTACACCTACGCTCTGCTTGTGTTTCCCAAAGTCCAGGAAATTAGTTTAATCGTTCTCTTAAATATCAACTATGCCGAGTCGTGTAATTTAAGTTACGACCTTGTTTCGAAAACTATCTTTATGCTTTTATTCGCATTTAAGTATTTCTAGAGCCTTTTAGATATTTTAACAACCACCCAAGATATGTAGATTTGATATTTGTACATAAATAATTGAATAGTAAATAAAATGTCTTCAAATAAAAAGTAATATACTATGTATAAAATACTGATAATCCTTAATTTTAGAGTTACAGAAAATAGATTATTTATAGGTCCAATACGAAACCAAACCTATGACTAGATCTATATTTTTAGGGAAAGTCCATAATTTATTAGGTCTACGTTATGTTGCAAGTATTCAGTTCAGTATATCTATGTACGTCACAATCTGCGCGTGCTACCCGGCTAATTGTAGCACATCCAAAACGGTGTTCGGGAATCGTCGTCACCCATCACGCTAGCAGCGGCTGGCCGCCAATCCAACGAAAATGGAGCATGACTCAGCCAACAGAGAAAGTAACTGACGGCAGCATCAATACACGCTGTAGGGTGCGCTACGTCACGCGCGATCAGCCACGACGAGCCTCCGCGCCCACGCACTACAGACGCCCGCGCTGCTTGCCATCATCATACCGCTATCAGAGCACTACACTTGTGCGTCCCGCGCTTTTCGCGCGCCTCCCTTCAACGTCGCGACGCTCCGCGCCATTTTCTCGCGCATGTGGGCGACACTGACGGTTGAGCGAGGGCGCTCGCTTTGAACGCCATTAACGCGGCCGTCGTGAATGAACGTCGACCTCGACCGGGTGGCTGGCGTCCATTGATAGGGCGCGCAGCGGGCACCGACCGCTCACACGGGGGCGGCGTGCTGCACGCCCTCGATTGCCGAACCAAACGTGCCTCAGTCGAGGATGTGGCGTTCTCCGCGCGACGACACGAAACGCGTGCGAAATCTGTGTTCATTTATCAGTAGCAGCTCGTGAACTTCAGTGATTATAGTGCCGCATCTAGTTCGTATAAGTAGTTTCTTAATATAATATTCTGTGATCGTGTCAATTCACTAGAACTTAAGTTAAGTTAAGTATCAAGGAGTACAGTGTAAAAGCGCGCCCGCCGCTTTACTTCCGCATTTAGTGTTGTGAATTTACATGTGAGTGCTCGTCAAGCAGAAAGCGCAAAGGGTGGTGTGGTGTGAAGTGTGGTTATGCACCCGAGCAATGCTCTCAGTGATCGCAATGCGTCGGCCGGAGGACGAGGAGCTAGGCGGTCGCGGCGAAGGCGACGAGTTTGTAGACATATCTCAAATGCAGTTGTTAGTGGAGGCGGGCCCGAGCGGGCTGCACTACGGAGGCCCGCCGCCGCCGCACGCGCAGCCCCAGCCCTACGTGCAGCCGCCCGCGCACGTGGTCACCACAACAACTGCCTCAGTCGATGATCTCTTCGCTCTATACTTTACACCCACTTCGCACGCTGATCATGTTCTTGGTATAATAAATTTTTCAAACCCGTTTTTAACTTATAACATAACGAAGAAATACGCTCAAACATTTTGACAATAAAGGCCATCCTTGTTTTATTATTGAAACATCAAAATTTTTTGCGAATATTATCGATAATCTGGCAAATAAAATTAGTGCGAAAAGTTATTGTGCTTTAGTTGCGTTTCTTCAATTGACTTTAGTCTGCTAAATATTATTCAATTGATACATAAATTAGTCTAATAAATGTAAATATCAGTATTTAAATCAGTGCTAATTTAAAATAAAATATGCAATGTTTGACTTATAGCCCTTTTATAATTATAAATTGTGCTACTGCATAAAATTGTGCAAAACAAAGAAATCTTAACTGTTACCCAGAAATAGGTGGCTATTAACTAGTTCAGAACATAATTCTATAATTCAAAATTCAATTTCATTCTATAAATTAAACATAGTAGAGCATATTACGAGCCCGTACGGGTAGGTAACTCGTGCCTATTTCTCTTGCAAAGCACTAATACGTTCTGAATCGAAGAGTGAAAAATTCGTAATTCAAAAAAAATTATAATTCGACCTCGTTTTCCATAATCGATGGTGACAATCACGCTGTGATATTTATTTGCTCCGGTAACCACTTAGCATCAGGTGAGCCGTGAACACGTCCGCTCTTTTTATGTAATACAAAAAACTTTCAAACCACTTTACGACTACGAATATAACACAGCAAATTATTCCCAGACAAAAGTTAAAAATTTCAATTCTATTTATAATATGCCTATCCGATTCTACAAGCTGGAATGAAGAAATGCCCGTGTTAAATTAAAATACGTAAATTGTAGGGAATAGAAAAGAGGGAAGGAATAATTTACGAAGTAAACGATGAAAATATAGTAGGATAATTGAGGAAAAGTAGTCGCTAGATATGGACAGAGTCGCGTAATCTTATTCCTTAATGAATAACTAGACGAACTAATATCAAAACTGGATCCTCTGACTACGAAAGATCAAAAGAGAACAGGATCTAGTCAGCCATCATGACTTGGCACCATTGTCGCTTTTCTGGCGCAAAGGTTACCGGTTTGGATGGAGCCCTGTCCCTCCACCGGTTACCGTTATACTAAAGTAACTCAGACTTTTACTGTATGTTTCAAAGATGATGGTGATAGATACGGTATGGTATAAGGCTTTACTAACTGAAACTTCTATAATAAAAACAATCTTCATACATTAAAATCGTTTGAATCTTATACGAATTTGAACCTTTTTTTTTTATATGTACAAAAACGTTACGTTTCTTATACTAAACTTAAGATAAAAATAATTAACATCAATTAATAATATATATTGACTGACTCAGTGATATAGTATTTAGCACCACTAACTGCTGGGCCGAAGATGGAAGGTTTGATTCCCACATCGCGCAAACATTCATGTAATGAACAGATTATCTCACTTTGTCTCGGTACCGTCGCACCGCCCGCAACCGGAGTAGAGTTCATCCATACTACCTAGAGCCACTGCGTTCATCCACAGTGCGCTTCCAGAGATCTTTTTTGCCACGTAGGTACCATCCGGCTTTATAATGAGCTCCCCTACACGGTGCTTCCCGAGCGCTATGACATATCCTTCTTCAAACGAGGCTTGTGGAGAGTACTTAGCGGTAGGCAGCGGCTTGGCTTTGCTCCTGGCAGTACTGAAGTCCATGGGCGACGGTAACCACTTACCATCAGGTGGGCCGTATGCTCGTCTGCCTGCAAGGGCAATAACAAAAATCATCTCTATATTAGTCTATGGATGAGTACAGAGAACTATCAGTACAGGGAATCCTAGCTTCGGACCAGATGACCTTGTGTGAGTTGACATCGGTTATTATTATTAATAATAATGATTATTTCTCAACCTTTACAATGTAAGAACTATTTATATGTAATATTTCCTTCAGTGTTAGCGAGTCGTAGACATAATTATAATTTTATTAACACGGAACAATATTCACAAATAATACATTACTAGTCCGTGACCAAGAGAACTAAAGTATTCAATACTTCGGAAAGTATGTGATGACAATAAAAAACGCGAAATTAAACATTAGAAGCGAATTTAATTATATGTATTTGTATGTAGACATGGTAGGACCGCTCGGTGTTTATTATGTTTTAGTTAGAAGCATGTATTCGGATCAGCGTTCCGGTATATTCTTATCTGAACCGGACGAAGCTAATCGACTGCGTCTGCGCAACCATCGCTATCATGTACGTCGAACAACCCGCAAAACATTCAAATGTGCTAGATAAGCTTAAATCAACGTTAGCTGTTATTTTTTTTGCAAAACGAATGAATCGTACAATATACTGTTCTTAAGCAAGGAGGCAACATATCGGTCTAAGGAATATTACAAAACTTATTTCTTACTCCGTACTTTATCATTGAAAATGTATAAATATATCAAATCGTGGTTTTGTGACGCTTCATCTGCGCTTCGTAAAAAGTCTGTGGTTTTATAAGCCGACTACTTGTGCTGTTATATTTTAAAACTTCATTTAAAGCTCTATGGGTCACTGACCCACGCTATAACCACAAATAAATAACTAATTTAACAGTTTAAAAAGTGTTCTATTGTTTGAATAGTAGGAATTTTATTAGCCGAATTGTTGGTATGATTGGGCATGTAATAGTAATGTTAATATAAAAAAAACAGCAAAGCTCCTCTATTGTACATTTTTTATTTAATTACGCTTAATTAATATACAATTAAAAATAAATTTGAAGCAGAGATCAATAAAAGTAATACAAATCGCCTTATTTTCACATTTAATTTTAATTTTTATGTTTGTTCTTTGAATAGATCAATCTCTGAAAAATCCTGGAAGAGTATAACGTAGGATACAATGAAGCAACGAAATAAATATTATAATATACGAAATACGTATACAAATTCTATTCTACAAATTCTACTAACTTTTTTTGCCTAATTGATGGACTAAATTACCTTTTTTAAGTGGTTAACGAAACACATAGACATTAACAATGTAAATGCCGTCGCCATCCACTTTGAGACATGAGTTCTGAATCTTAATTTCTATAACGGTTATCCCACCCTTCAAGCTGAAGCATTACTGAAGCATTACTGCTTTACGGCAGAAAGAGGCGGAGTAGTAGTAACTACCCACCTAAAATTTGTTCTTGCTTACGTTATTCGAACAACGGCACAATCGCACCGCTTGATACAAATGCACCGGGCATTTTATCCTTTAGGCCACTTATGCATTCATGCTGCAATGACAACGAAGCTCTGATAACCACTAGCTGCAGAAAATTTTTGAGAAGAAAGAAAGATTGAGATTTTTATCTAAATATGAAATGGGCTATGGAATGAGCTCCCCTCCACGGTGTTTCCCGAGCGCTATGACATGTCCTTCTTCAAACGAGGCTTGTGGAGAGTATTAAGCGGTAGGCAGTGGCTTGGCTCTGCCCCTGGCATCGCTGAAGTCCATGGGCGACGGTAACCACTCACCATCAGGTGGGCCGTATGCACGTCTGCCTACAAGGGCAAGAAAAACAAAACTGCCTAAAGTCAAAACAGAAAAGAATCTTTTCCGCGGCCCATAAGGAAAATCTCCCCCGTGTTCATGACCCACTTGCAGTTTTGTGGTTATAAGATCCCATAGACACTAGAATATGTAAAAAAGCGTTTTTTAAATTAATTTAGTACTCCAAGTTATTCCGATTTTGGGTCCGTTTTCAAAAAAAAAGATAACAGGTGCTAAAACCATCAAAAGGACTACATACCGATCCTACGTACCAAATGGTAAACAGTCGACGTTGCCTTAACCACGTCATTTCGGATCCTCCCGATACACTGTCGGTACTTTTAGGTACCACAAGCACCGGTCACCCTTCTCATCGAAACCGTTTAATTGCGACGAAGGGTTCGGCAAGTAAGTTAATCCAAAGACATAGCCCACTGAGTTTCTCTGTGAGCCGGTGGTAGATTCTGCTAAGCAGTGCTCTTGCTAAAGCTAATCTAATCAACGTCCTCAGGTTAGAGCCCCGTGAGCTCATCTACTCGTCAGGTTACGCTGGCATTATCCTCTAAGAATACCAACTTAGGTAGGGAAAAAATTCGAAAGGTCAACGTCTCGGTGCATCTGCTTAAAAAATCGATCTGTGTTTAAAAAGAGGCGGTGTCGACATCATATTGCGTTTTGATTGGTGGGCAGTATATCGAAAAGGCGTGACTTTCACGTTCAATACATTGAAAATATCTCATTTGAAAACTAGACTGGATCGGCTTACAGTAGCTAAAATAGACGCATTATTCTCAAAATACGTGGGTTTCATTAAGACTTTTTAAGGAGCTTAACAACTAACTACAAAACTTAGTGATGATATAGTTCGGATAAATAATAAGACTACTCGTGTTTTCTATAAAGAATATTGAAGCTTATCTTGAAAGTTTAAAATTAGTTTAATTAGCTTAAGCCCTTTTTCACAAAACTTATTCTAGAATGTATTATTAGTCTTTTTTAACTCCTTATCCATGAAGATCCTTAATCCCGATTAATAATACTTAGATGAAAGAAAAGTAAATAAAGACCCGTTTCAAATCAAAGAAACGTCTTCATCAACGCAAATTTTCTATCCAACGAACATCCTCTTGACGTCGAAGAACAGGAAAAAGTCGCTATGGGCCAGATTTGGAGAATACAGTGGATGCAGAATCAATTCGAAGCCTGATACAGTGCAACGTCTTTATGAAACAGCATTGTCTTCTTCTTCTTCTATAAATGGGGCGATTCTCACAACGCTATGGACTAGTCGGTGCTTATGGTTTTTTCCTTTTTAAAGAAAGTCGATGAATATTATACCATACGCATCCCTAAATACTAATGCCATAACTTTACCAGTCGACTTTTGCGTCTTTTTACGCTTTGGAGACGGTTAATCACGTGCAGTCCACTCGACTGACTGTCGGTTGGACTTCGATGTGAAATGATGGGGCCA